AATCATCCAGCCTCGAGCATTCGGGAGAAGGCGGAGGCCTCCAGTGCAGCCCGACACTCTCAGCAGCCCGGGAAAGCATAGCGGTCAGCTCTGGATCTGACTCGGGCAACGCCACTCTACCTGACGGTGGCAGCGCAGCCGAATCCTCATCTCCAGAGCCTAGCTCGCCCTCCGATGCAGCGATCGACATCCTGTCCTCTGCCTGTGTCCCACACAAGATGCTGGACCCCGCCCTGTCCGAGGACCCAGCACACTCGTCCAGAAACCCCAGGTGGTGCGCCATGCTTGAGGAATGAGAGGCCCACTGAGACGTACTCGATGGGGAAGCTCTCACTGTAACCCTCAGGTCTCACTGACCATGAACCGAAGTAGCCCTCCGAGAACCGGAAGAGCTAGAGCGGGGCATGGCAAGGGGGATACCCCCCCCTTTAATGAGGAGGTATCTAGGCCGCAACGTCGCGATGGTCATGTTCCCGCACTGAGAACATGACTCATCCATGAGCGCTGCTTCAGCGTGCTGTAAGCCCAGGCACGAGAGGCAGCGATCATGACCATCAGATGGAGGCAGAAAACGACCGCATCCAGAAACGCACGAGCGGGAAGCCATCTTTAAAAAGACGCCCGTCGCTCGTGGAGCTCTTTTAGACATTTGCTCTTTTAGGAAAAAAAGGAAACACTCTTTTAGAGAAAGCGCTGAAGCGCCCTGGGGAGGTCGCGGCGAGACCGCAGAACGGCAGCTGCAGCACGCCGAAGATGAGCAGCACTGAATGGCAACCCCCGCTGACGCGCCGTAACACCAACGCCAGCTGTTTCTTCCAAACACTCGCGGAGATTCGTCCTTAGAAGGCTCGGCTCCGAAGCGAAAACTGATGTGCGTTTGTACGCGCTCTCCTTTTATACCCGCGCTGCGGGGCGGGGTGCGCGTGGCGAAACACGCACGCCAACTGTCATTGGCTTGTTTAGTTAACACTCGAAGGTGATTGGGCTCTCGGGCGAGATCCCAATTCATCAGTCACTGACGTAACGTAGAACGTGACTGACTGAATGGGAACTATCAGTTACATTAATATATTTTATAGTTCTAAAAAAAAAATAATAATAATTTTGTATTTTTATATTACTTGCAAAAATACAGTAAATTGTAAACTCACAAAGATGCAATCGTATAAAACAATATAAATCACAAAAAAATATTACTGCAATTTCATTGCATTATTACATGTTTCTATGGGGCAAAAGGAGTGCTTTGGGAAACATAATTTATGGCTTTCATTTGGTGTCATGCATACATGGCATAATTCATAGACAACATGGACTCATTCTAGTGCCGTTAATGCATAGACACACGCTCATTAGTTTATCATAAAAAAGAAAATCACCAAAAATCTGCCATTTAACAAAAGTTATCCTGGAATCCTACTGATATAAATGCAGATCATCTCATCCTGAGATCTGATCCTGACTGTAAAGAGTATTTTGTGGACACTGGACAGTGTTCTGATGTTAGCACCTCCATCACTCAAAAACTTTGATGCAAATTTGCGCTGTTAATATTCAGACAGTGAGGTTTTTAGTGCCTGCGAGATGCTCTGTAAGCTTACCATTAATATAGCACATACGCAATCCACCCTTCTTACATTACCAGAGAGAAAACACACACACACACACACACACACACTCATCTCCAAGCAAGGAAATCCCAGTAAAATGGTCTCTGAAAATGATGGCTATTGAATTAGGAGGATAACAGTCATAGCACTCACCGGTAATCAAGTTTGATGATTTTACCAAGCAAACTGAGCAGCATCCTGCTGAAGCATTCAAGTCCTTCACCTCCAACCAAAAAGCCTTTGACCCAAACATCAACCCCAGAGGATTCGCTTCCCCAAACCACTAATGCAATTAGAGTCGCAGGCAAACAGAGGTGTTGAGGCCACGCCAAAACGTCCATGCCAACATGGGTAAGCTAGCATGAGCAACAATAGATGCAGCGCTATAAAGAAGCCTCATAAATGTCTGTGTCTTTCTCCAACCACAAAATAACACTTTATGATTTGTAAAATGAAGCCTTTGCACAACTGGACGAAAAGCCAGGGGTGACGAACTGCATGCTTTTGCCCCTTTTTCATTAGTTTGTTGTTTTATAGTCTGGTTTTATAGAAAGTCTTCTTTGGTTCATCATTAGAAATGTCTGAAATGCTCCCAGAAACAATACAGCAAAGATTCAGAGACACACACAAAATCAGTATATGAGAATTTCTGAAATGGAAAAGACGGCAGTCAAACGATGCACTCAAGAGAACCATAAAAGAACTGTAAAAATACACTTTCACTTCACCTTTAACTGTTCCACGGGTCCATTCCGAGGTCTGCGCCACTGCTTCCAGATATATCGGCTCATAACTTCATCCTCCAGCGGCCCAGACTCTGATCATGGAAGAACTTAGTTAACAAGTTTGACCTTCATTCAGGGCAGCAGCAAGTGGAAGCATGTACTTCCTCTCTGAAACATTAAGAACAGCCTATCAACGATCTCATTAGACAACTTGAAACATCGCTATTTGTTCCTAAAACATCTGAATAACAATATTTATTGGTACATTAAATGGACTGGAATGGCCAACATTCTCCAAAGGATGACTGAGTTTGGCTCCCACGCTGCATTTTTTAAAAGTACTGATAATTGGATGGGATTTGAGTAAGGATTATTGGTTGAGTTCTGTTTCATGAAGGGTGGAAATATTTGACTCACTTCGACAGATCTAAAAAAGTATGTTTAATTTTAATGACAGAACCCATTGGAATGCCAAACTGCTGTTCTGTATCAGGATTTTTGCTTGTTACCAATCAGACATGTCCGAACTGAGTGTTATGCAAAGCTCTCTAGTTCCCCCCAGTGATTAGAAAAGTTAAGTGCATTTTTATTCTAACACAATAAAATGCAAAATAGCCAATGTTTCATTACTAAACATATTCCACTGCTACTGTTAGAAGCATAAAATTACACAAAGACACACTTAAGAAAATTAACTATGGTTTTATTTAAAGTGTAACGTTAGTAGGCTAACCATTTTTTTTTTATAACCACAGTTTTACTACAAATACCTTTCTTATGGTTAGTGTAGCAAAATCATGGTTAATTTGTGGTTACCATGGTTTAACTGATGTAGTGTCTCTCTCTCCTGCAGTCTAATGAGCTGTGCCTGGATCCTTGTCTCGTCAGATCTGAGGAACGTATAGGATACAAGCACCGCGTAACGAGTCCTGTTTGACCTCGTCTAGGCGGCGGGCCGGCGTTTGGCAGCACCTGCTCTCAGCGGCTGTCATCAGATTTCAGCCACTGTGCAGACAGCCTGGCTTCCACCTCCAGGTCTGTCCTGCGGCACAGTCACGTGAGAGACCCACGGCCTCATCCCTGCTGATTCAGAGACACCAGCAGAGAAAGAGAGAGAGAGTAAATGCCAAGGACATTTCAGTGTGCAAACCAACATGCATGCGCACACATACACTTGTAAAGAAGAAGCGTCCAGTGAAAAGTCGTCTTATCTGAATCAGGAGAGAAATATGCACAGATCAAGCACCGTTAACAAGCAAAAACAGTTCTAAACAAATATGTCAGTGGATGTTTAAGGAAAATGACATAAGGAGATCAACTTTTTCACTGGAGGAAGCATTATTATGGATTAGTATTTTGGTCAAAAGTGACGGTTAAATGACTCAATGACGAATTTGTTCGTCACTTCACAAGACGTTGTTGTTAATAAACTGTGAAGACAGAAACACATTTAGGCCTGTATAATATGCTTCATTTAGAGGCAGTCACACTTCTGCGTTAGAGTCTGAATTAAAAAGGGAAATACCTGTGTTTATATACAAGATTATAATTAGCTGCAGTATAAATAACAATGGGAATAGAATAGAATAGTTTTCAGTTGGCATTCTTTTAAAGCAGCGTGAGTTCAGAAAAGTGCATAAGGTAAAATGGGAGTTCAATGATCAATTTCCATTTAAATATCAGGAGACAATCAAATCAAAGACAGTCAGTCTTAAATTGTATTAATTTGCCAAACATTGGAGGTCAAGCTTCAACATGCAGTCACTGAATCCAGAATTGGGAAACTGTGAACAAAAAAATCTCCTCGAAGTGAGGAGAAGAATCCTTTACTATTTTTTTCAAACATAACAAACATTACAAAATGCAACAAAATAAAACAGGCCAGAACAAGTATTTCATTTTTTTAGACACAACTGGGGAACATTTTTAATTATTAATTTAATGAAGTGTAAATACTGTGACTGTCAATATGGTCATTGGAACTAAAATTGTACTACTATGGTTTTACGCAACTGTATTCCTTGGAGAACCATGTACTGTAAATACCCAGGTATATACCAAGTACCATGCCACACATCTGGTACACCATATTCTGCCATCAATGTACCATGGTACCGTCACGCAGTAACAGATTTACAACACCACACAAGTAACCCGTTACAGTCACTTCTCAAGAGGGACGCCCAATATTGCAAACGAGCTGTGAGAATGACACCCACGCGAGCAGGCGTCTTGTGTGTGAGCGCAGTGTAATCCATATCTCTGCTAGTAGTATCTCTGGATTACTGACGTGTGTGCCCGCGCTCTTATATCTGTGCGCTCTCGCTTTACGCGCAGTTTGATGGCGTCGCCGCGCGCTCCTCTCTGCGTTCTCCGATCATCGTTTATCATCTCACGGTTTATGGACGACGAGGACCAGATATTATGATAGCACATTGTCGGGGTTGGTTCTACAACATTTTCGCCAAAGTGTTCTGTGGAAACCGCTTGAGCTCCGAACCGAGCCGTGAGAGATAAGAAAAGAAGTTTGCCGGATACAGGTGCGATCTCTCTCTAACTCCAGCTGATGATCACAGACACAGATCTGGACTGCCGGATTCCAGTAGATCATATCAGATCTCGCGCAAGGTGAGCTCAGACACACACTATTATAATGATTATGGTGATGTTGTTTAGAGTTGATTTACAGCAACAGTGATGCTCTACAGAAATAGAGAAGACTGGGACTAGTTGTCACACTTCTTACTCCAGTAGGCTAAATATTTCTTAGGTTTGATTTGGGAAGTATCAGTATTTTTACAAGTGTTGGATACACAAAGCTTCTGAACATTTGCGTTATTGCACAGGAAAAAAGATCGTTGAGCGCACGTTGGAAGCGGGGCATGTTGTCACACTTACAGTAGTTGCCACGATCCGAACCTGCTGTACATTGACACAGATTTGAGAAGAATACCTTTTAAGCCTTAGCCTATCTAAAGTAAAAAAAATGGCATCGTCCACAACGTACGTGGCAGCAAAATGTAAATAGCATAACAATTGTCACACAAAAATGACAAAAAACGAATGATTTAGCCAACAAACAGATCAAAATTTCACTTAGTTTGTACAATGCACTAAAATATCCTTATTTGCAATAGTTTTAAACTTAGTGTTTGAAACCAACATACTAAACCACTGTTAAAAGAAGTAATCTATTATAACCGGAGTTTTTCAGATCATTCAGATAAAACTTACTCCTCCATTATTTGTATATGCTTTAATTTCTGTTATTATGGCTAAATATGTTACTTCTGTTATTAGACTATATTTTTCTTCAACCCAGTATCAGTGTGTTAAAGTGTCAAGACTGTCTAAACTGAAGTTTTAGCACAATCAGCAGGTGCTTGAGAAACCTGAGATTGTTCAAGTTTAAGTTGCATTGATCTTTATCCATTTAGACTCTTATAAGCGCATCCGGAGATAAGAGCTGCCTTTTAGTGTTATGTTACCTTAGTCCTGAGAACATGTTCATGTTAACAAGATGCAAAATATATCTCGTAACTGTCAACATATAAGCATAGTTGATTGGTAAGAGTGACGTTACCATTTATCACAGGACACTGAATGCAGACAGAAATAGATACTGCCAACAAACAGATCAAAATTTCACTTAGTTTGTACAATGCACTAAAATATCCTTATTTGCAATAGTTTTAAACTTAGTGTTTGAAACCAACATACTAAACCACTGTTAAAAGAAGTAATCTTTCAGATAAAACTTACTCCTCCATTATTTGTATATGCTTTAATTTCTGTTATTATGGCTAAATATGTTACTTCTGTTATTAGACTATATTTTTCTTCAACCCAGTATCAGTGTGTTAAAGTGTCAAGACTCTGTCTAAACTGAAGTTTTAGCACAATCAGCAGGTGCTTGAGAAACCTGAGATTGTTCAAGTTTAAGTTGCATTGATCTTTATCCATTTAGACTCTTATAAGCGCATCCGGAGATAAGAGCTGCCTTTTAGTGTTATGTTACCTTAGTCCTGAGAACATGTTCATGTTAACAAGATGCAAAATATATCTCGTAACTGTCAACATATAAGCATAGTTGATTGGTAAGAGTGACGTTACCATTTATCACAGGACACTGAATGCAGACAGAAATAGATACTTGTTAGAGTGCTGTAAGGTCTGTTTTATGGGCATTTGAAACTAATTGAAAGAATAGAAGCGTGCCTCTGGAGTTGATTGGTAAGAGTGACGTTACCATTTATCACAGGACACTGAATGCAGACAGAAATAGATACTGTTAGAGTGCTGTAAGGTCTGTTTTATGGGCATTTGAAACTAATTGAAAGAATAGAAGCGTGCCTCTGCCACCTTGATTCATACTGTTCACAGAGTGCACTATGCTGCCAACACTACACGCAAAAGTGTTATTTACAACACACTACATGCTCTCACTCTAACACCCCTGCTTTTCCAGCCCTGTCTTTTGCTTTTAAACTGAAATGTATTAGAAGCGTGTCCAGTGTGGGTGTTTTGTTTGGTTCAGGTCAGAATTCTGTTACAGACCTGTTGTCTGCTACTTATACAATCTGTGATATATTTCCATAAACTTTCACACTGTCTTATAGTATTCAAAGAGCAAAGCAGTTTTATAGCCAGGGATGAACTGACTTACATTTCAATTTTGTAGATGCTTAAATATAATCCAACTATAAGCTAACTGTATCCCATCATGTGCAGAAACACAAAAATACACACCATAACACAAAACTCTGATTGGTTGAGCCATGTTCAAAGCCTTTGTAGAATGCTGATAAACATACATCTATCAACACATATTCTATATTAATACAATGATTTGCAGGCATGGTATCATTTATCATATTGCTGTTGTTACTGTTTTATAAAAGTAGTATATTGTGGAACGTAAACAGCATCCAAACGTGCTAGCAAGGTCAGTGTTTTCCAAAACAAACAAAAAAACTTTTGGTAGATTTTAAGCTGATAATAAACTAAAGTGCTAAAATAGTCTAGGGAAGAAATATTCAGTCTCTGGATTTGTAGCACATTTAAAGTAATCCTCTGGGTCAAATATAACTGAAGCTGTATTGACTGCATATGTGGAATGCTGTCGATTATCACAAAGTAATTTAGACTCGTCCCTGAGCAAACGTGTGAACGGTAATGCACTTACAATTGAACATTCTTTGACTTCTCCTTAATCGAGTTGCTATATAATTATGTTTCCCCTCTCTCGTCTCATTGTGCTGGGTAAGCTTTTCCTGTTTATTTGAGACAAAAAACAGCATGAAACAATAGATCATGTATACAGTGCAAGAGAGTTACAAGAGGAGTTCACAAGAGAAAATGACAATTCTCATGTTGTTCTAAACCTTCATGCTGTAATTTTGTTCCTATGGAATGCAAAAAGTGAGCAAAAGGAAAATTTTCAGAAAACTGATTCAGTCTTAGTTGAATAAGATTAGATGTAGAAGAGTTAGTTTATTTGTCAGAACTGATTTGGAGAAATGTAGCATTACGTCACTTGCTCACCAATGGATCCTCTTCAGTGAATGGGTGCCGTCAGAATGAGAGTCCAAACAGCTGATAAACACATCACAATAATCCACAAGTAATCCACACCACTCCAGTCCATCAATTAATGTCCTGTGAACGAAAAGCTGCATGTTTGTAAAAAAAAACAAAAAAAACAAATCCATCAAGATTTTTAGCTTCAAATCATTGCTTCCAGGCTAAAATGAGTCCTCTGTCCATAGTATTGCTTACTCAACGGCTTGGACTCTCATTCTGATGGCACCCATTCACTGCAGAGCACGTGATGTATTGCTATATCTCTATCTTTTATTACAGGAGGGTGAGTAAATTCTCTGCAAATTTTAATTAGTTTGGGTTCATTTTTTTAGCTTCAAAATGACAAACAAATGCCATAGTCTGTGATTCATGAACTATATATTGTAAGTAGACATAAAGTGGCTACCCTTTAAACTTTTGTTCCATTTCAATGCTGGAATGTACAGCAGGCTCATACTGTATGCTTTGCTCAACAGTCCATTCTTCTATAATCTGCTTAGTTTTTTCTGGGCTTGGCTGTATTGTTTAATACTTTACACCTCTGGATGGCAGGTGCATGGGGATTTCTCTAAAGAAGATATATTTGTCCTGTGCCCTCTGTGCTTTATCTCTGGTGAGCAGGGATTCTCTCGCAGCTGTGACACCTGTCAGTGCTGAATGATAGATATGGTGCCGGTGCACAGGGGAAGTTTATGGAGCAAATGATTTGCTGTACCGCGCAATACACGAGCCGCTGACTCTCCTGTGCAGAGATTCAATGCAAGAAATAACAACAGACCTAAAATAGACCTTTAATATGTGTGTGTACATGTGTGCACGCAGAACCGCAGCTTGTTAGGATGCACAAAACAACATATTTTCTATATCAACTAAAGGATAATTAGGCTGTTAGTCGTTTGTTTTATGACTTGTCAACTAGTTGACCACCATAACCCATCCGTATGTGTGCTAAAACGAAGCTCAGATAACAGCAATATGATTATCATTGATTAGTCTTAATGCGAGTGGAGTCAAAACCCATGTGGCCTCCTTTAAATACCATATTTTTACCTAATCAACATAATTGCTCCGTCTCAGAGGGAATGATAATTATGTGCCTCTTCCTTTCTTTTTTTGTCTAAGACAGGCTGATCTTTTGACCATGCACTCTAGTTGTGTTTTTTCTCAACACTGCTCCATGGCAACAGGCATGACGATCCATCAGGAAAAAAAAATCTTTGGTATTTCTCCAGAACTCCATAAATTGCTTATTCCCTTTTAATCATATGCCCCCCCCCCCCATGCCCCCATG